AAAGAATTATATCGGATACAGAGGAATCATCCCTGTAATAATTGAATCGAAAAAGGCTGAATTTAAAGATAAAGCAAAGGAATTTTTCGATTTTGTGAAAAATATTCGGGAATTCAAATTTTATATTCTATTAGTGTCATTTTATAGATATAATTACTGACTATAACGGTATTCCAATTACATTGAGTTCTCTTCTATAAATAATATAATTTTAATGATTCATCAAATACTTTATCTTCCTTTCCAACAAAGGATTATAACGGATACAGAGAAATCATCCCTGTCATAATTGAATCGAAAAAGGTTGAATTTAAAGATAAAGCAAATGAATTTTTCGATTTTATTAAAAATATTCGAGAATTCAAATTTTATATTCTATTAGTGTCATTTTATAGATATACTTACTAGCTGTTACATGATTTTTCCAATTACATTGAGTTCTCTTCCATAAATAATATAATATTAATGAATCATCGAATACTTTATCTTCCTTTCCAACAAAGGATTATATCGGATACAGAGGAATCATCCCTGTAATTCTTGAAAAGAAAGGGTTAAATTTAAAGATAAGGATGTTTCGATTTTATAAAAAATATTATATTTGAGAATTCAAATTTCATAGTCTATTAGTGTCATTTTATAGATATACTTACTGAATATAACGGTTTTCCAACTACATTGAGTTCTCATCCATAAATAATATAACTTAAATGATTCATCGAATACTTTATCTTCCTTTCCAACAAAGGATTATATCGGATACAGAGGAATCTTTCCTGTAATTTTTGAAAAGAAAGGGTTAAATTTAAAGATAAGGTATACGAATGTTTCGATTTTATGAAAAATGTTATATTTGAGAATTCAAATTTTATAGTCTATTAGTGTCATTTTATAGATATACTTGCTAACTATAAAATTTTTCCAATTACATTGAGTTCTCTTCTATAAATAATATAATATTAATGATTCATCGAATACTTTATCTTCCTTTCCAACAAAGGATTGTATTGGATGCAGAGAAATCATCCCTGTACTCTTCGAAGAGAAAGGGTTAAATTTAATGATAAGGTAAACGAATTTTTCAATTTTATGAAAAATATTTCGACTTTCAAATTTTATAGTCTATTAGTGTCAGTTTATAAACATACTTATTAGCTTTTAATTGATGTCTCCGCCCATAAATGAGTAACATAACTTTAATGATTCATCGGATACTTTATCTTGCTCTCCAACAAAGGATTGTATCGGATACAGAGGGATCAACTTTGTTATTTTTGAAGATAAATTGTTACATTTAAAGATAAATGAAGGTATTTGTCGATTATATAAAAAAAAATATTTTTGAGTTTATTAGTGTCATTTCAACGACATATTTGCAAACTCTATCACGGTTTTTCTGCATCAAATTACGTTTTTTTTATTAATAAGGAACGGAAAGTAATGTTTCATCATGTACATTATCTTACTTTTGAACATAGGATACCGGATACAGAAAGTAAGAAGCGTAATTTGAATAATTATCCTTAATTTATCTTGCGTTCTAACAAAAGATTATTCTAGATAGGACACAGAGGGTCAAAAGTTTCAGTGACACATTTACACAAAATTTTCTTTTTAACAAAGGATTTTATAGGAAACCACAGATCACACAAACCATCCGGAGCCCAGAAAGTAATTTAGTTATAATGGCCACTTATGGGGTCTTGGGCCAAAGGAAGACCTCCAACTAGATGGTTAAACAACACTAGTAAAGAACTACTGAAACTTCCATTTCTTACTACATTCATTACATTCCTACTTCCATTTCTTACTTGAAAATAAGAAATGGAAGAAGAGTTTTCCAAGGATAGTAAACGTTGGATATTGCTTGTGTTTGTGGCAGCCAAAGCCTGTAAAGGGTTGTAGTGCTCATAAAGAAGAAGAATATTATACCGGATATAGAAAGATTAGTTCTGTAATCTTTGAGAGAACTAGAGTTAAATTTAAAGATCAAGTAAACGAATTTTTGATTTCATAGAAATAAACTTTGAGAGTTTAAATTCTTGAGCCTTTTATTGCTTTTGGTATTGATGCACTCACTAACTCTGACATGGTTTTGTTTATCAAATTGCGTTCTTTCCTATTAATAGGGTAAGTAATTTTTAATGTTTTATCATATACTTTATCTCGTTTTCTAATAAAGAATTATACCGAGAACAAAGAGATTTGTTCTGTGATCTTTGAAGAATAAGGGTTAAATTTAAAGATAAAGTACTAAAATTTTCAATTTCATTAAATAAAATATTTGGTGGTTTAAATTTTTGAATATGTTAGCATTACTTTATATACATTTAATTATATCAAGGTTTTCTGGCTAACATTGCGCTCTATTTCATAATTACGTAACATCATTTCAATAATTTATTCTTACTTCATTTTGCGTTTCAACAAAAGATTATTCTAGACAGGATACAATGGGATTAGATCTGATGTATTTGAAGAGAAAAGAATAAAATCCTTGCTTTGCAACAAAGGAGTATACTGTATATCAACTCTGCAATTATGAAAAGAAAGGGTTAAATTTAAAGATGTTAACCCCTTATCTTTTAATTTTCTAAAGAATATTTATAGTTCGAGTTCTTGGATCTATTAGTGATATTTTATAGATATAATTAGTAACTTTATCACAGCAAATCTCCTCAAGTTGCGTTCCTTTTCACCAATAAGGAAAGTATTTTTACCGATTTACCAGATATTAAATCTTGTATACCGACAAAAGATTAAAGAGGATATAGGGAGATTAGCTCAGTAATAATTGAAAAGATTAAATTTCACACCAATGAAAATAAGTTTTGTGATTTTCTAAAAAATATTTAAAAGTTTTAATTCTTGAGCAAGTGCTTCGTATCTTTATTTGAAATTTATTTTAAGCTATTTAGCAATAAATTCTTCGAAAGGTTACTCTTTTTAATAAATATAAGAAATATAAAATACAATTGTAATTTTATATTTCTATTTATTTCAGATTTTTGGAACAAATTGCAAGCTTTTAAGTCTAAAATTGTGATAATTTCTATAAAACAAAGAGTAATATCAATTATTCAACGCATACTTTGTTTTACGTTCCCAGAAAAGATAATACTAAATGTAGAGTGATCAGCTCTGTAGTCTTCATAGGACAAAAGGTTGTCTTTCGTTTTTATGATATAAAATTTTCGAGATTTTCAATACGTATGCAAATTGCTTCATTTCAAACATTTGTATCATTTTCTGGTGTTTAATTTAAATTAATTTTTAACTTTGAAAAACTAGTTTTAGTAAATTCTTAAAAATGTGATACTTCTGAATACCGTTAATACTATCTTAAGACAATTTAAATAAAACTAATTTGAGATCAAAACTGAACAAAAAAAGTATGTTTAGTTTGTTTAGAAATGTTCGAACTGTAAGACCCTCGAATGTAAACATCATTAAAATATTAATAAATATAAAAAAAATTATAAAACATATAACATTTTATTTAATTAACTTTTATTTAATTTGTTAAAATGATCTACGGACAATCCTAAAGTACACAGCAAAACAGGTTAGGGACAAAGTCCTACATATACAAGATTGAATACTTTCGAATTAAAAACCTTGTATTCATTAGAAGGTCAAAAAGTATTTCTGTGGTGTAATCACTTGGAATTAAAAAGATATCGGAGGAGCAAAGTATAAATTTTATTTATTCTTCGTACTATAAAAAATATTTTAAAGGGATAAAAATCTTTCATGAGAAAGTTTTATTTTGTCAAATATTGTGAAGTCATGATAATTAGCGCAAATTATTTGGCTGCTTTTAGGTTGAATCGGTGATTCATAGATATTGTTACCTTATGTGTAAAATCGGATTATCAATCAGCAAGTAATTCTGGGTATACGCTGATTTTTTACGATGATCATTTTGTCAAATAATGTAAAGTCATAAAAATCATCGAAAATTATTAGGCTGAATTTAGGTTGAATTGGTAATTCAACCTAAATTATTAATTACTTAACGTGTAAAATCGAATTATCAGCCAGCATGTAATTCTGGGGATTCGCTGATTCGTTTCTCCGGATAGAAATCGGATATTCAAAACAAATTACACAGTTGATTATACTTTGTACCATTAAAAAAGAAAAATAGTTAATAGAAAAATAATACTTAGTTAAATTCATTTACGAGAAAGTTTTATTCTGTCGACATGATAATCATTGCAAATTATTCAGCAGAATTTAGGTTGAATCGCTGATTCATAAAGATAATTACTTTACGTGTAAAATCGGATTATCAATCAGCAGGTAATTCTGGGTATACGCAGATATTTTTCTTTCCGCATAGAAATCGGATATTTAAAATAGTTTACACAGTAGATTGATAATGTAAAATCATAATAATCGTTCCAAATTATTTGGCTGAATTTATGTTAAATCGGTGATTCATAGAGATGATAGATTTACGTGTAAAATCGGATAAACAATCAGTAAGTAATTTTGGCTATTCGCTGATTTTTTTTCCCTTCATAGAAATCGGATATTTAAAACAATTTACTGTGTTGGTTTAATGCGAAGTGTAAATAATTATTTATTTCGTTATGAAATATATATTTCTTATAATAAATGTTCTAAATAGAAATTAGAAAATAATATTTAAAAGATATAAAAGTATTTTATGAGAAATTTTTATTACGATAAATTGTGACTTATTTTTATTAATATATGCTGCGTGCTTTATTTCATATAAATGGTTGGTTTAAGTAAGTACTGTGTATTTTCTTACTTTACGAACTTTTAAAACTCATAGCAATCGAATATATTCTCTCTTTTAAATATAGAACATACACAGTTATCAAACGATTTCGAACAAATTCTAAAACTGCTTAATACTTTTTATAAATTACAAATAAGCTATGTTTGCAACAAATATTTTCAAACTGAATAAATAAATAAAATTATCAAGGACATGCATAAATATTTTACGACTGATGCATGATATTACCCTAATGATGGACAGTACCTGAATATTTTATTCTGATGTTTGATGCTTTAAGTTTTTTTCCGTATAACATATCAGATGCATAAGGTTTTATGTTTAAAGTGCTTTATATTAAATGTACAAGGTTGAGTGTAATATTAATTAGTGCAATACCAGTGTGATAATAAAGTTGAGTGTAATATTAATTCGTGCAATACAAGTGTGATAATAAAGTTGAGTGCAATATTAATAATTCAATCATCATTTACGTGAAAAGAGCAATTAACTTTCGTTCCTTTCTCGTTCCTAGAAGGTAACTATTTTTATTTATCTTTGAAGCTTTGTTTACTAGTAAATGAAAGTGATTATTTCTGTTTGTATATTATTCCACATAGTTATTAAATTAATTTGCATATGAATTAAAAAAAATAAAAAACTTTAATCACCGTTTAAATTTTAAACTATACTCACAATAAAACTAATGTAAATAAAATTGAATTTGTTTTAAACACTTTTACATTAGAGTATTATATAACGGAATCAAATAACATAAAATTAACTAAACAAAGCTCAAGCACATAAATTTTTTATTGATATTTTTCATATTAAATTTAAATGACGCGAAGTAAGCAGAGGAATTTACTCGTAAATTAATCTTGTGTGAAAACTTGTTTTCTTCGAAAAAAGTAAAAACAATTAGAAAAATTTTGGAAAAATAATAGAAAAAAAATTTAAATACTCAGATTTCAAGAAAAAAATTTTCTTAATTGTGAAAGAACTGAAATATTTTCTATACGTTGATGATAAAAAATTTTTTCTTCTGAACATAGTGCAAAACCTTTTTTCGATTTGGTCTTAAAGAAGAAATAATAATAACAATAGTAAGAATAATAAACACTGAAATTAGAAAACGATTTCGAAGATCTTCCATTCATAAAAAAGTTTTTCAAATATACATTGCATTTTTTAACTTTAAATTGTTGTTTTTTATATAAAATAAGCCACATTAGGACACTTTCTTAGGATTATGAGTTGCTGTACACTGTAAAAAAAGTTTAGTGTATCTCAGCTCTAATGTGATGACTATTTCACACCTAAATGTTGTAGAGCCAAAGAATAGTTCATGGCTTAGCGAAACACCAAGAATGTTCTTCTACACTACTTAGTGTAAAGTAGACGCCACCACTTTTGTTATTCAGAAACACTAAAATTTATAATTACATTAAGATAAGATACACATTAGAGAGTTAGTATATATATATATATATATGTTTATTCAAAGAAAGTACGTT